ATACATCGATGAATCTCCGAAACGTTTGCACAATATTTGTCAAACCGAAATTCTCAGAGGTTCAAGAGATTTAGGTCATCCGTTTTAAAGCTGCCGTCTGCAGCCATAGGAATTCGGTTATATGATTTAACCTCATCGATTTTCGAGAAAACAGTTATGCCTTTTAAGGCGAATTTCAGGTCGTGGAAGTGTGGTAATGGGTAACGATCAAGAATGATTTCCGTATTAAGTGGCCGATAGTCACCAGTTGAGTGCCAGTCATTGTTGTTTTTTCGGGGACCATCTGCAACCTGGATATTTATGAGCTGTTCAACGGCCGGACAATCCCTAATTCTATAGTGAGCTCAAATTCGTTTCAGGCCAACTTTAACTTATCAGGAGCTAGCCAGCGAGCGTTTAGGAATACGGGTGAGCCTCAAGTCCAAACGCGGTGTGTAACACTGTTGGTTAAATACGGCAGTTCCAATCATGTTTTGTAAAGTTTGGAGCACTTGTCGAAAGTCTATTGGAAGTATGAGCCAACCACATGCATAGTCGTGACTAGGGATAACCTACAAACACATGATTCAGTATTTCCAGTCACTAAAATCCGCTAGCCCAGGTCGAGTAAACTATGGTATTGAATAAAGTCTATACCAATAATTACTATAGAAATATTCAGGACAACAAAAATCCAGCGAGTGCGTCAGTGCAATCTCACGTTAGGATAGACATATCGCTTACCGCGAGTGACGATCGGCCTTCCACTTAACGCCTGTAATTTGAAGACCAGATGTTGTGGTCGATCATTGGTGATGATGGGAAGGAATTTTTCTTTTGCGCCATAGTAGATGAGTTATCGAGCCTTGTCACCACGTTAGTGATTTACGACAGATGGCTATTTCCACAGTCTAAGGTTGCTGTTGATACGCGCCAGTGGGAAAATTTCCAAAGATGTTTGCTATGTTGTACAACTTGGGGCAGGGGGAACCAAAGGACTTCCTCCAATTTTTAGAAAACTTACCATTGGTGTCGTGTCACCAACATCAATCAGGATTATTTGTTCCTCGTTGTCCAGAGGTAAATCGTCTTCGTGATAGGCTTCTTCGAAGAGTTTTGGAGAGTCTAGATTTACGGTGAATAGTGAAATAACGGATCGAAGCATTGCAGAGACATGTAGTCATTTCGAGTGGTCTGAGACTTTTCTTTGACAGAACAAGCATCGATGCTGAGGCTTGTAGTGATCACAAGAGTCCTATCGGCAAGCGCAGCTAGTTCGCCTACGGGATTATTTCAGAATGAGTCGAGAACCGACTGTACCTGTTGGGGGAAGCTTGGATAAACTTAGTCCAAAAAAGGTCAATCCTAGGTCCATTGATCAGCGACCTTCCGTAGATGTAGGAACATTCCTGTCTCCTATACTCTGGAGAGCAGGCATAACCTTTTAGGTGGGTTAGACAACACAGTTTAAGGTATCATGAGATAGGAAATTATCACTGATGAGCAAACTGCATGTAACGTGCTTCTTTAAACCGAGTTGCAGTGCCATTACCATTATAATGAAAATCGGATACCAAAAACACCTTATCGTGTTACCGTCCGAACCCACATCATTGATAAAATAATTGTGTCAGACATGCCATTTTAGGCAGTCTGTTCTAAATTTATGTTAGTGAGACCTCATTAATTCGTGAAAACCACCTTGACTTTGTACCAGTCACTTTTTCGTATCAATATTTGTTATTCCGGTCGTGTGCAGTTTTTGTTGGACATTGTCTGCTCATAATCATCAGTCGGGAACTTACGATACCCAATTCATTTATCTGCTCTCCTTCAACAAATGGGAGTCTATAAACAGTGTTCAGGGTTCCCATGAATCGTTCAAATAAGTTAGTTAATAGAGTTTGTTAGACACATAGAATACTAGGAAGAGATCGTCTAAAAGTTTCTTAAGAAACTCTACAAAATCCACGATCGATCAAAGTTTAAGTTCCAGAGGTGAAAACCTAAAACCCCTTTTGCTTGGACCACTAACTCATTTTAGGGCTAGCTAAACAGGTTGCAGAAAAACAGTAATGAATACGGGTGTCTTAAAACTGAAGACTGATTTCTGTGCTCGCCGAAGTTGTTGAGATCATGAGTGCACATACGAAATATATCTATTCTGTGTAAACCCCAGTAAGGATTTTCCAAAGATAGATCACCTAACTGTCAACCAACTGAAAAAATTTACCAACCATGTGAGATTTTCTAGTGAATAAAGGTTGATTAGAAATTTCCAAATCATCATGCATTGTTACCACAAAAAATGTGATTTGAATTCAAAATCAGTGGGTACTAGTATTACTATGATATTTGAAGAGAGTACAATATCACCTTTGACCGCCAAACTGAATGAGTCAGCAACACAACAAAACAAACAAGGCCCTGCTGACTAGAGAAGAGAACAGAATCCGCGTGAAAAAATATATATGGAATAAGCAGTCTGGAAGGATGAACGAACTATCACACAACCCATGCATATATGTGCGGTACAAAAATGTCGTTGGAAGAAACTTCACAGAAAAGCGTACAAAAAGAAAAAACGAACAAACGATATTTAAGGCATTCCCAGGTGGGCTGTTCTGTGGTCCCGAGAGAACATTCAATCCCGTACGCTGATAGCCTCTATAACATATTCGATGAATATAGTGTCGATCATTATGTTAAACTCGTATACCTTGTCCTAGCTTTCCGACAGGCCAATCTATTCATTCTACTTGAGTCACATTTTGACCTTGTTAATTATTCGCTTATCACTCTTGACTGTTTTTATATGAGCGCATATGTGTGTGTACATTTCTTATCCTATTCATCACATGTCTTGCAAGCATCAGTTTGTTGATCGTCCTCAAACTTCCTTCAATGAGGATCTTTGCCGATTCTGGGATAGCTACGACACACTGTACGAGGCTTTTGTGTTGTCGACCACACACGTCGGCTGCCAATTTTATTCTCAAACTCTCTTCCACCTAAGGTTGTGTTCTGATAGGATGCGATTACGCTCAAGGAATTTGTACAGGATTTAGAAGCAGGCTATCTATTAATTTTAAACCGGTGTGGTAACCGATTCAGTTTCCTCCTTTGACGGAATCCATCTTTATCAACAATGGATTTACGCTTCCTGTGACGGTGTTGTTTGAATGAACAAGTTCGTACAAAATCCCATACACCAGAATGCCAGCAGGGTGCCGAAGGACTACTCCTCATCCTCCAAACAGTGCTGATTTGTTAGACGCCGGTATTCATTTGCAATATCGTTAAGTATCATTCTGAGGTCCTGATTGAAAAATTACATGAACAACATTCTAATAACAACAAGCTTGTGCGATTGAGGACTGCTAATGGGGACAGAGGCTTTAGATCTATTTCCGACAAAAACTTTAGCTGAAAGCAAACGCCATCATTCATTTGATTATCACGACCAGATAATTCATATTAAGTGTTGATCACGGAGTGGGACTTTGACGTAAGCTACAAAGATATACCATTTCCTTACAAGTCGAGCAAACCTTTAATAACAACCACATTCGCAAAATAAATCGTCCTTCAAGTTTTTGACGTTGCTGCTGATCTCAGTGGTTATCTTGAGCACACCTTGTTTAAGGGCGCTTAGTCAGGCACCGGCAACAGACCACGAGTGAATATACCGTGCTACATATATCTTGCAACTACTAGACAGCTTAGATCAAACGCTCCTCAACATTTCGACAATCCTCCGAAAATATTCTTAAACTCCTTCATCTACAAATTCTAGTTTGACTGGGTTTAAAACCCTTGTTAATAAAGGTGTTGTAGACAGAACGTTGTCAAATGTTGAATATCTGTGACATCTTTAAAATAGATCCACATTATTCACTGTCAACTAGCCTGTGCGTCAGAAATGTGTATGGATATTGTGTGATTATTAGATAAATGGAAGGATTAACAAATTATAGACACACATACATGGCAATCAAATTAATCACACAAATAAACACAAGATACCAAATCGAAATGTAGTTATGCATTTGTAAGTCACATGTTTTGCTCCATCTTTTATTATAAAATGAGTACACAGTTGTGTTGATTTAATGCGTCTAGACTTAGCAAAGTAAGTGTTGTCTAGTTAATAGGTTTTATGAAACGTCTCCGAGTATTTAGATGCAACCACATCATCCTCGTCACACCGGTAAATTGGCTCTTCAACTGAAGTTTACTGAGCTTCAGTTGCCTTTTGTTTGTCATTGTTGAATTTGTCCTACCACATGGATTAATAAAATAAAAGTAAAGAACACCTAACGCTTGCTATTCACTTTCCAGTTCAATCCAGTGTTTGAAATGTCGTATAATCAAAACAGACATGAGATTTTTATGACTCAAATCTCGTTCAAATACCTTTTAACCAGGGTTTTAGTTCCCTAACTCTCTCAAAAGCGTTAAGACGTCCACGTTTTGCAGGACGAAGTCTTTGATCTGTAATAATGTCATTTGACAGACAAATCAAATTGGTTATATTATTTACATATAAAAGGAATATGACCGGACTCTGAAAAATACCCTCGAAGCAAGAGCTTCTTATTTCAAACAAATTTTTTGGTATTACTTGAATGAGTTTCACTCTGATTTACAATTAAATACTCCAGTCTCAAGAGTGTACAAGTTAAAAACTTTGCCACTAGGTTCAGTTATTTCGGAAGCTTTATTTCAGTATATAGTGACCACGCTCATCTGCAACTTTCATTGCTTTCCTTTACAACGACGTCCTATAAGTAGTTACCAGCTGAATATGCAAACGTAAGCTTCCGAAATCTTTCATATACGCAGAAAGTAGGTAATCATTACATAGCAGCCTTAGGTATTACTAACATACTAACACAAACATAAGGAATTAAATTTTCTTATCACTATCTAATGTTTTTAAGGAAACGATGATAAGAGTAATTACGAATAAAGAATTTCTTAAGCGTTCAACTGATTTTAGGGGTACAATAGTACTGTTTGTTTTAGTGAGCTAAAGATATATTAACCATTTGTACTCTGACCATAAGTAGTTGTGTACGTGATTAAAGTTCGTAACCAGTTCGTTTCTTTACGGTAGGTCTTATTACATTCTGGATAGCTGAATCACCAAATTTTAGGTGTATCATATTGTGTTAAAATGTCACGCTTTCATCTTTACTTAACTGAAGCTCAAGAGAATGACCTACGCCGAATCGCTCAAGCTATTTGTGCTCCTGGTAAAGGAATTCTAGCAGCTGACGAAAGCACAGGTATTTCCGCCTTAATTTCCATTCGATTTAATTTTAAAAGCCACGATGGGTAAAAGGCTTCAACAAATCGGCGTTGAAAATAACGAAGAAAATCGTCGTCTGTACCGCCAGCTACTTTTTAGTGCTGACCACAAACTGGCCGAAAATATCTCTGGAGTAATATTATTTGAAGAGACACTTCATCAAAAGTCGGACGATGGAAAGACTCTTCCTACTCTACTGGCCGAACGAAACATCATACCAGGAATAAAGGTTGACAAAGGCGTTGTTCCACTTGCAGGTACAGATAATGAGACAACAACTCAGGGTCTCGATGATCTTGCTTCACGTTGTGCTGAATATTATAAACTTGGATGCCGCTTTGCTAAGTGGCGTTGCGTTTTGAAGATCTCTCCACACACACCATCATATCAAGCTATGCTCGAAAATGCCAATGTACTCGCACGTTATGCTTCCATCTGTCAGCAGGTTAGTTTACTCATCAGACAAAAACATTCTATTCATAAAAATTCTTTTATTCGGTTTTTGACAAACAGCGTGTGTTAACAGTTGAATTAGTGGTAAAAATTAAGGGTTGGGAAATAAGATGGGATCCTAAAATTTAGTAAAATATAAAAGGATGTTGACTTGCTCTACTCAGCAATCAAAAAATAAAAATATATACCCAGAAGCCGCGTAGCCGGTTAACATCTCACTCATTAGACTAATTCTAGTACATATATTTTGTGATTTAATGGCAGATTGTTAGAACCTTATATACGAAATAACGTCTGATATTTGTTGGGAATAAGCAGTGAGACTTGTATTTTTTAGAGATCTGACAAGTCTTGCTTTCAAGCCGGAGGACATGCAGCCATCATTTAGCGGTCATCTGTGGTTCATAAGCCCCTGATTTACAATGACTTCAAAATTATAATGCTGAGTATTTCTAGAGAAGATATATTATTCTTGCAGTTCCGTTAGTCATCGAGATATATTTATCTGACGTTAATTTTGTCTCTAAATTATCGTTCTACGACTTGATGTTAGCTTGAGATTCACCTTTTATCGTGTGAGGCCTTGCATCACCTAAAATAATCTTTTAATAGTGGTTAATCACAGAAATATCATTTTCATGGCGCAGAACTTAATAGTACATTGAACTGTTTATTGATACACACCTAGCCCGTTTTAGTACCCATAGAGACATTAAATCAACTTTTAAGGAACAATGCGTATATCTGTTTGAGACATGTTGGCAGATGCAGACTACTTGGTTGGCGTCTGCGCGGCTATTGTAACCAGTGGTCGGAGACTCTGGGTGACATGACTCAAAATCGACCACAATGGCTCAGATTTGTACACTTTTGATATTAAAACCACTCTACTTTTGTCTACAAACTAATTATTGCTCCCTGTATCATATCCTTATATGCAGTATTTTTATATATTACTACCATTGAAGTGACTGCTTCTATGAATTTGGTGTTCATCTTGTTGTGAAAATGGGGTACAGTAATTTAAACTGATGCATATATGTGCCTGGTTTTACGTTGTAGATGACTGACTGTTCAGTATTTCTGTTATTAAATACAAGTTCTGTTTTTGCACAGAGTCTACGAGAGAGAGACTATAAAGTATATTCGTTGACGTCGGCAAGTTTATTATTTTTGCCGACTATAGTCTACGGGTCTTAAGTCCCCATTTCATTAAAATCCCAATCGAGTTTTATGTCATACAAACTATGATGATTTTAGATTATCTTTTATCAGTTCAGATTATTAAATCAGTACATATCAGATCATTTTGTTTTGGATACAGCTAAGGCAAATCATCCATTTGCGGCAGTTATTTAGAGTTTATTAAAAATTAAAAAAATTATGCATTATTTTTGATATAGTATAAATAAAACTACATTTCCAGACCTAATTATACCGTGCAAAAATGCATTTGTGGTGGTGCCTTATTCATATGTAGGACGCGTTATGAGATGAAACCACCATTATCAGTAACGATGAGTGGAAGATTGAAAAACTTAGGAGCTCCTGATAAGCGCTTGAAGAAACGTCTTTATGATCCAGATGTTTACTTATGGTTTTGGCAAATAAAATAATACTCAATATTTACTATTTATGAACGTTAGTTGTAGATAAAAAGTATTTAAGAGTCTTAGCTGTAAGTTAAATTCATTGTTCTGGTCGACAGAAAAATCTCAGGTTCAAAACTAGTTTCAAACTATTTTTGTTGTCTAAAAAGATCCAGCAGTTTGTACATATAATTATCTTTCTTGGACAGTCAATATTTACATATATTCTTTCCATAATGCTAAACCTAAAACTATTTATTGATTTCAATTATCGTTATAAAAAACCACAGCTACATAATTAAAACTAGTGTTTTATTTTGGGTCATGCGCTAGATGTTTACGAATTAAAATTCAGCCTTAATCCGTAATTTTTAGGCCTGACTGGGAGTTGAAGCTTTGTATTGCTTTACGATTCCTAGAAAAACGTCTAAGTAATAAAATTTTAACTATATTCTTCCTAGTTCTTTTCTTTGAGTTTAAGAACAGTTATAATGTGGTTTAGTCATAATAAAAGCTAGTAGTAAAGTGTGATTTTAATTTAAAGAGCTTCCTTGTAAAGAAAAGTCGTTCAAAAGACTCAGTGGAGGTGTGAGGTTGTTAAAGACGGAGTAGTGGAAAGTGGACATTGACCTGCTGTGGCATCAAAGGTTATAAGATCGACTTCAAAATTTTAATCATATTCATACGCTGACAAATTATTCGATGATTCACCTTTATTATCTATTTAGAGTTACTCTAATTATTTCTATTTGCATGGTATAAGAGCTTCAAATAATATAATTCTTTGCAAACGTAAATTTTAGAATGGTTTGGTACCAATCGTTGAACCTGAAGTGCTTCCTGATGGTGATCATGATTTACTAACTGCTCAAAGAGTAACAGAAGAAGTTTTGGCATTCGTGTACAAGGCTTTAGCCGATCATCATGTTTATTTGGAAGGAACGCTTTTAAAACCCAATATGGTCACTGCTGGACAGGCCTGCAAAAAAGCTTACACACCGCAGGAAAATGCTCTAGCTACTGTGCGAGCTCTTCAGCGCACAGTCCCTCCAGCTGTCCCAGGTATGATTTTACCTTTTGGTTGATTGATCTTGAACAAGCCACAGCGGACTACAATCAAACTTCTTCGTTTTTAACTCTTTGGTTTTAGGTATCACATTTTTGTCTGGAGGTCAATCAGAATTGGACGCTACTAAAAATTTGAACGAAATCAACAAGATTCCGGGACCAAAGCCATGGGCACTCACTTTTAGTTTTGGTCGTGCTCTACAGGCTTCAGTTTTAGCCACATGGAAGGGAAAGAAAGAAAATGTTCATGCGGCTCAGGAAGAGCTATTGAAATTAGCCAAAGTAAATATATGAGCTTGCTGTTACATCTGTTTATGTTGGTTTTAATAAAATTGTTTGGTTTCATTCCACATTTAAGTTTGTTTACCCTTTTCAGAGGTAGAAAAAACATTCAAGTCCTAGAACTACCAACACATATAAATGTTGTTGGGAGTTGATATTAGATTTCATCAGTACCTTTTGTACCCCTTTTAATTCATCAACAAGATGAATTACTCAATGTCAGCTGCTAATGTTTTTGTTGAAGTCGATAACGCATTGTGATCTTTAAAACAAGATACGGGAACGCAAATAATACAGATGACTTCTAAGGGCTTTTCAACATGTTATTACAATGTTCAAATATTAACAGACGCTTTCGTATTTTAACTCTTATTTCTGTTAAAAAATAATCCAAATAAACAGGTTTTGTAAAACATTCTTTACAAGACATTTCAACTTTGTGTAAGTGTTTTTAACACATATTGGTTTATTATTAATGCACGAACTAACTTACAATTATTTCAATCTTCTAGGCAAATGGTGCTGCTGCTGTTGGCAAATTTGAAGGAAATATGGGAAGTGCTTTGGGAGACAAATCATTATTCGTTGCTAATCATGCTTATTAAACAATTATATCATCCAAATGTCATCTAAATTGGAGCCCCTTAATATTTAGCACAACTAGTCGACATCATAACTAACTAACATCTTTCTTATGATTTGAGATTAAACCAACATTCAGATCAATTCTGTCTTATTCTTATTTTTGTTCTTAAATACCGCCATACGTTACTTTTCTTAATAAAAACAATATTTACTGTTTTACTTCATAGTATTAGCTGGTTTATGAAGTCATAATAACCAAGTAAATATACATTCTCCCCATAAAAATGACTTTTTCCAGTTATCAAGTGTCTATAGGACTTGCTTAGATACAGGAAGCCTAACTAAGAAAATTCAGAAAGAATAGGGGGTAACTCGTGTGACCTAGGATTCATGTATTATTAGATGAGTGTTTTGTTCTACTTCGGACTAGTCAGCTGGATTTATCTGCATCCCAGTATTGATGTTCATACAAATACTCGAACCCCATACCTTCTAATTCAAACGTCAACATGTTATCCGATGAACTAGTGAGTTTATCTAACCAATAGCTTAGAATCACAAAGACTTAATAATGCTTACATACTATTTAAACAAGTTATTGGCCGTCTGAACTCAGTATCTCAGTGAAAAAACGCTTAGATATTTAAAGCTTATGATGCTGGATTTGAGCCTCATCATGAAAATTAACTCATGAATTCAGGTACATCCAGCTAGAGTCTCAAACAGAACAAAATGCTCATCCTAGATTCCACTCTAAGCTACTGACCAAATATATATAAGTTTTTTAGAGTGTACTAAAAGTTATGGCAATTGTTCATTTCTAGCATAACCACATTCAATATTAATGTAGTTCTCATAGATTTTTCAGATGATTCCAGCTGTTTAAAACGTGGGCTATCTTCAGTGTTGTATACATCTTTTGAAAAAATATCTGTAAAATAATTGTTCAAATAACGAGTGAAATAATGAGAATTAAGCATCGATAATCCTGTGAACAATCTAATTATCTTCTTATTTAGTAAGTCAGTGGTTCATTATCTAGTTTAAGTCAGATATGTCTTGGGAGTTTTTCCAAGTTAGCACCTCATTATTCACGAAAATATGCCATTATAGTTCCTTAACAAACTATCAGACAATTAGTTAATCATGAGCAGTGTACAACTTGGAACATATGTGCATCGATTAAAGTTGCCGCACTATGTCAGCATAGTAGGAGCAGTAGTATTATCAGTGTTAGTACAGAAGATTAGACATAGGCCGTATGGCACGAGAAGGAAGAATGGGTTCACGAAATACGGAGTATGAGATAATGCCAAAAATCATGATAGAAAGGAAGGGGAAGAGTGAAAGTATCTGCGCCACTTAGGTCGATTCTTAATTGAGTCACCCGACGTCTTCAACTATTGGTTGTGGTAATCGTGCTAACCAGAACTTGATATTCAGTACATGTTAACACGGCTTACTTTAACAGTCAACGAATCCATGAGCTGATACTTGGTTTGAGCACTCAGCTTTCTTTCAACCACGATCTAACCCCCCAGGATTCGAACCCAGGACCTATCGGTCTCGAGCGTTGATGTGCACTGCTGTGGATTTCCGACGACTTTTCAGTGTTTCCAGGTTTTCCATGGCAATCTAGCTTCAATTGACTCATTAATTCAACTATTAAATTACTAAAATCTCCAAAAAACCTTCTGAAAATAATAATTAATAATTCAAACTTGTATGTTAGTGATTAGAAACTATAGTAACTTCAGAAAATTCAAAAGAATTATGAGTAGTCTATCTTCTTAAGTCGTCCCATTTTGAATGATAAATAACATTTAAAGTACAGTTTATCTCATTTATATCACATGTATTAGTTGCCTACTACAGTTAGTGTAAACATTACTAGTATCACTTTACCCTTATGAGGTCACTCATAAATGTACTTCAGTTAACAACATTTTATAGAAATTTGCCTAAATAAACACGTTATTTATAATTCAAAATAGTAAAACGTAAAATAAACAAAATCTTTTAAAATATCTACATAAAAAATTCACGTTATACTTTCCTGGTTTAATTTAACGTATTACTAAGCAGTACAGTCAGTCAGTCCGCTACAACGTAGGACCAGGCACATATGTGTATCGGTCCAAGTTGCCATATCCCATTAGTACGACAAGATGAACGTCAGATTCATAGAATTAGTCCATTCAGTGGTGCTAATATATAAAAGAAAGATTGCAATAAGGATATAGTACACGAAGAAAGAATTAGTTCGTAGAAAGAAAGATATAAAGCAATTATAATTTCATAGTTTAAGGGAAGACAAAGAGTGTATAAACCGACGCCATTGTGATAGATTCTGAGCCATGTCACCAAGAGTCTCAAACCATTGGTTTCAACAAACACGGGGACCCCAACCAAGTAGTCTGCATCTGCCAACATGGCTCAGACTAGAGGTTAGTGACTTCAAGCATTCATCCATTCCACGCGAAAATAACTGTTTATATTACGACATGAGAATTGATTATTAAACAGTCATTGATAATTAAACTTCAATGTTGATAAAATTTTATCGGTAAAATTGCTAGTCTAAATAAATGAACATCAAGATTATTGAAGAAGACAATGTAACATCGGTTACTGCTGACTAATAAACCAGTGTGTAAACATATCAGTCCTAAAAAAGACCAATATTAACCAAAACGTCTATTCTATAAAACCCACTAACCATTTTAATGCATGATGAGAGTTCAAATTCTTTGGACTCAGTCAATTCTCTCGATGATAAGTAAACGACTAAATAAAAAGTTTTATGTAGCGGAAAACATAAAATCAGAGATTTCTGTGACCTGCTGACATCCAATTCAATAACGTACTAATCTGTAACATATTTGATGCATACCTAATAATCATATATAATGGATAGTTATTGAGTAAAAAATCAGGTTAGTAGAGTAAGTTAACTTGTGAACTGTTAAATGGAATATTTCTGGTACAAATACTTATTGTTACACGAACAATAGACTTAATAATAATGTATGAATCGACTATTAAAGTTTATGCATTATATATTACATAATTCTGATAAACTTTATCTTCTCATTGCATTATCGAAATTTATCAAAGGGATTAAAGAAATTTGTGCCTAATGCAGTACTTTTAAGTAATTAGTGGCCCGGGATCTGACTCCAAGTAGATCGTATGAATCAGTGTTATTGAATGATTACTGTGGAAATGTATATGTCACTTATCCTCGTATATAATCATCGGCTTAAATCGCGTTAGTCAATAACGGAATTAAGTAAGTCAAATACGAGAATGAATTTCGAATAAGTATATTTCATACAATCTTTGATTCGGACAAACTAACGGAGAAGCAAAGAGAAAAGAGCGAAGCGAAATGACGAATAACGGAGAAGGTGTGTGAACCAACTCGATTTAATCAAGCGTTAATCAATATTTATGGTCACACAAAAATGGGTCACAGACATGTGGTGAATGGGTTAAGTAATGTACACACACATATATACGCTCATATAAAAACAGTCAAGATTGATAAGCGAATGATTAATAAGGTCAAAATGTGACTCAAGTAGAATGAATAGATTGGCCTGTCGGAAAGCTGGAATAAGGTATATGGGCTTAGCAAAGCAACCGACATTACAAGTGAAATGTCAAAGATAATATTATTAATCTTAGAAATATTGAAAGAAAACTCGTATGTTACTTCCCCAGGTTTTTTTTCTTTTGAATATACAAAAATGTGATATATTTCTATTGTATCATAATTAAAATAGTTTTGTAGTATATAGACAAAAATACATTTAAGACACAGATATATAAACAAATAAACTCTCTTCAGTTTCTACAGTCATATATATGTTAATCAATAATTCAAAGAATGACAAATGAGATTGGATTCAGGAGTTTTAGATCTAACTATAAGGAGTAGCACTGTCAGTAGCAACTTTTCAATAAGTATCAGAAGGGGTTTTGTGGATATTATAGTAATTTAATAGTTGCGTTCTGTAGTCAATTGAAGGTAGATCACCATGGAAAACCTAGAAGCATTCCTCAAAAGTGCTCATCCACGATTCCGCCTCGCGAGGTTCGAACCCAGGACTTATCAGTTTCGCGCTCGAGCGCTTAACCACTAGACCACTGAGGCGGCATCAAATGGTGTCAATATCTAACTTCATTAAGTGTTTTAATAGTCTGACTTGACTATTAACAAGAACTTTTATCAGAAAATCTTTGAATATCTCAAGTATTAAGGTTTATTTTATTAATATTTGTAGTCATTCCACACATACGTGACGTTTATTAACATAATTTTTAATTATTAATTATTTACTGATAAGATTCTTTGTTAAAATCTAACTTGAAGATTTAATATCTACCGCGATTGAGTAAACATCAAAAGATAGAATAAATAAGTAACGAAACATATCAACTTCGATGATAGTAACATACTTATATATAAAGCTATTTTTTAAAATCCCATTTAAAGCCTGATCTATCTAATCATTAAACATTTTTCCCTAGTTAGTGAAATTTATTATCACTTACATAGTAACCAAGATGTTCACATTCAGACTTGAAAAAACTAGAACTCAATATTTTGATAGGTATTTTAAAGTAGGTAACAATTTAATACTTCACTAGAAACAAACAAAATTACAAAACTTATGTTAAGTGATTTAGTTTGTTTCCTGACCGAATTCTATTGAGTTGTGAACTGATATTCATAGTGTATTATAGAAAATTACATAACTGTATAACTTAATCTAAAATAAATATTTTACAGTAATTCAGAAGTACTGGAAGATTAATGAAATACTTTTAACTATAATTCGCTTTTATTTTTGTAGGAAGTTAATACTACTGAATAACCGTTAGAATTTAATTCACACTACCTTTGAAGATGAACAATTTGAGATTAATTCAGAATTAGTGAAATAGTCTTATTTTTAAAAAGTTACTGTTAAGCTTCTTACACAGTTAAAGTATAACTACAGTTAATTTGAGATTTAAGTCCACTCGTGGAAAAGTTATTTAATCTATTTTACTTTTCACTTATTTTGTGAGTAATTGGTGGAGAAATTCGAACATTTTACTTCTACGTAAAGTTTGTGCTGATGATGTTGTTCAAAATAACGATGAAAGCTCCAAGTTTGATAAATATTAGCCAATCAGAAGACAGTTAGTCCAAAGTAAAAATATGTCATACGAAACCAAAGAATTAAAGTGGATACACTTCTGTTACATGGTTCGAAAATTTATCAAGGT